TCTATGTAACTACTTGTATAAATTACCAATAAAGATATGAGCAAGGCCTCACCTTAAAAAAAAAAAAAAAAAATAAACCCAAATCTATCAATATTTTTTGAGGAATATTATTCACATATTGCTCTAATGCAGATAGATAAGCCAGAATTCGACAATCTCCAATTGCTTATGTCGTTACTCTGTTATTTAATATCCATCTCTTGGAGTCAAGTGGGTTGATACTTCTTTTTGTCTGGTGGATTATGTATGGAACGAAACATTCATATTGCAAGAAGTTTGCAGTTTGGGGTTCATTCTCCACACCTTCTAAAATACAATGCTTATAAATATCAATAGTTAGTTCTTTTTTGACAAGAGATTTTTGAGATCCTTTGCCTTCTGTATATTTTTATACTCATCTTTAGTTTCCAATACATAAGACTTTGATTAGTTTTCAGCATATCTTAATGCTTGAGTTTTTGCAAACTCATCTTTCCACTTCCCAATCACTTTCTTATATTTTAGCTTACATGAACCATCAGGAAGACATACCCATTGATCTGGAGAAAGTTTTTTAAGTAATGGGTGATCTTTAGAATAATCACTGAAATCATAGAGCTCCGCATCTTCAATCATGTCAGCATAGATGTCCTCAGTCTCAATTTCGATAATTAGTGAGTCTGTATCAGTATAATATAATTTTGCATGATCTCCATACTTACGCTTAATATGATTATACCAGAAATCATATATATAATATTTACTAAGATCTAAAACTAAAGCCCCGATATAGATTAGCTTGTTAAGTACAACATTCATTAGCCTCTGATGGACTGCTATAAGATTACTTCCATGAAATATTTTATATTCAACTAGTGCTGGGTCTGCCAACATTTTACGAAATCGATGCTCTTCTTCTATTGGTCATACTAAATCTACTCGTGTGCGATGCCAAATATCCTCCATAGTTTTTCCGAATACTGCATTGTTCATTAATTTCCATAGATTTCTTTCGAATATATTTTTTGCATCACGACGCCGTATAGTATTTGCTATAATATATGGTTTGAGCCAGGGAGATTGATCAAACTCTAATACACGGTATACATGCTTAAGTTCCATCCCTAGTTCAAGACACTGTTGAAGATTTCGGTAATGAATAATATAGCGATCTTTAGTCTCTAAAGTTGCTACCAATTTTTCTGTTTTTGCAAATTTTTCACTGCTCAGTTTATCAATTAGATCATTATTTTGGTATAGACTAAGCTCACTTTGCTTAACTACCTGACATTCTGGGCAGAGCGGATAGTTACTATGTGTTGGGTGAAGATTTTTCAGATATCTTAATTTTACTTCCCAAGCACTGCCTCGTTTTGTAGTTAGTGAAATAAACTATATATTGGGCAAGTTGTTTATGTCAAGCCATCTAAATCCTCCTGTTGGCAAATATTGAGACATAGCCTATCTATATAAATTATTAGCATCTAGATAAAGAAGCTATTTGTTGGCTTTTCACTTATCATAATCTTTTATTTCTAGAAAATTGGCTTTTGCTATACGATGTGGCACCATAGAATTTTTACCTCGTATCTAATGTTGAATGAACTCATGCATATCCTCCTGCCTCTTATAGATTAATTTGAGCTTGACTTTAGTCATCTTTTTTGCCATATCAAATGCGAATGATGGTAATGTTATATAGTTCAAAGGATCTAGTTCAGATACTTCCTTTATTGTTATTTGAAAACGCTGAATTGAGTCTGCTAATATTAAAACATTAGTTCTGAGGTATAAATCATGATAGTCCTTAAATGCTTTACACTTTGCTTCCTTCTATACTTTCTGCGCATGGTCATATTGCTTTTGACTAATGGTGTAAATTTTTTTGTGCTTACAATCGTTGACCTTCTTTAAATCCCCTTCCTTACATTTTTCATTGCACTTTTTACTCTTTATTTCATGTTTGCACTTTTTATACCTATTCCTGCAATAATTTAGTCTGCCTAGTACTGTGTTAAATTCCTCTCTTGATGAAAGCTTTGTTTTTGTGAAGTGCTCAGGATCATTCCATTTGTATGGGTACTCACTTTTTTGTGTAAGTAATGGAAGCAAATGCTAAAGAATACTCTGTGCCATAATTGGAAAACATTTGGCCAATTGCTCTGGATCTTTTCTTAACCATACAAATTACTTGCTACTTTTTTCAATGATGGAAATTGAAATTGGCAGGAGTCTATAAATTTTATCTGGCCAATTATTATCATCTTATAGTTCTCCTGGTTGTTTGCAATTATTTCGATTTTGTCTTCACTAATTAGGCCTAATTTCCATATTTCATAATGGAAGTTATAATGCTTCCCACTATGATATATTAATGGGATCTTAATTTTATCTGGCTTAATACGGAGTTGAAGATTACAGCCATGGTGTGCTGGACCATGATATTTTCCAGTGAAATGATCATGATCTCTAACCTTGTTTTTATTTATATCAGCTTGAAGTTTCATCTTACATAAACAACATTTGGATACTGTTTTGAATATATTTTCTACATTCTATACAGGGAACTTGATTAGGAGATTTCTAATGAACTTTACACCCTTCTTCTCGATAGCACACCTCATTGCATACTTCTCCGGACCTAAGAATATATGAACATTTATAAAATCCCATATTAGTTTGTTTTTTGAATAAATATATAACTATAATTATCTGAATAAATTAATTTTTATTTTAAACTTTTTTGTAACCATATTTAATCTTTAGAAAAACATGAGTGGAATACTTAGTACTATCATCGGTATATTAGAATGATTGTTCAGAAATCTCTTACCAAGCCGGGGAGACCCAATGCCACCTGAGTTACCCAAACTTTCTGAACTACCAGAACCAGAAAAAGGGTCGGAGGAGGGAGAAAGTGACTATGAGACCGCAGATGAAGGAGATACATCAGATTCTGAATCTGAATCTAATAACAAGTCAGAATCTGAAGAAAAAAAACTAATATTTCGAAGAATAGAAGATCTAGCTCCAAAAAGGTTAGTAGAAACTAGAAGAATTTCTGACCAAGATTTATGTATCGATCATTTTGCTATTATTCCAGAAACTTATCTATATTAAGAAGATTCCTTAGCCACGTTCGAGAATGTTGAAGACCAAATTAGCGATGTTTATAGAAAAGAATTAGCTTAATTAGGGGGTATTAAAATAAAAATAGTTCTTATTGCTCATATATATTAGATTGCACAAGGAGGTCGTTTTGGACATCGAATAGATCAAGACATAGCATTTCCAAGTGAAATTTTAGATATTATTTGCCAGAATAGAATAGACCAAACAGTTTCACGTCAGTATAATAAAATCTTAGATAAAATCAATAAAATGGAGCGAAATCAATATTCAGGTTGGATATATGAGTATGAAAAAAAGATCTTTCTAGAAATAAGTATGTACCAACTACTCCAAGATAGTTTCTATTTTGCATTACCAAAAATATGGTCCAAACCTCAATTAGAAATAATTAACCCTCAAAATACAGATGAAAGATGTTTCGAAACATGTATGAAAGCTTATTTAACAAGTGAAGAGGCCTGTAGACAGAGTCAAAGAGCAAGAAATCTTCATAATGTTAGTAGGCTACAATGCTTTAATAATATACTAGACTTCTCTGGTATAAATTTTCTATTCACATTACGTGATATCGATATATTCGAAGAAAATAATCCAAATTATGCAGTAAATATGTTCTATCCTGTACCAGAAAAAAATAATAAAGAGCAAGCAACTAGAAAGTTGGACCCACTCCGTTTATCAAAGTATAATTATCAAAAAGAGTATATGGTAAATTTAATTTTATTTACTAAAGGAGAGGAAGATTTGAGGGATTGCTGTAATATTAATGAAATCTCTCCAGGATTAAATACTCATTACTGTCTCATTAATGGTGAAAATGGATGGAATAGGATTATACGAAATTGGAATAAGCATCATGGGTATAAATATTTCTGCCATCACTGTATGATTGCCCTATTTTCAAGAAAGGATCTACTTGAAGAACATATAAAGTACAACTACCATGGTTGAAATAATCCTAATGCTGGGCAAGTTGTTTATGTCAAGCCATCTAAATCCTCCTGTTGGCAAATATTGAGACATAGCCTATCTATATAAATTATTAGCATCTAGATAAAGAAGCTATTTGTTGGCTTTTCACTTATCATAATCTTTTATTTCTAGAAAATTGGCTTTTGCTATACGATGTGGCACCATAGAATTTTTACCTCGTATCTAATGTTGAATGAACTCATGCATATCCTCCTGCCTCTTATAGATTAATTTGAGCTTGACTTTAGTCATCTTTTTTGCCATATCAAATGCGAATGATGGTAATGTTATATAGTTCAAAGGATCTAGTTCAGATACTTCCTTTATTGTTATTTGAAAACGCTGAATTGAGTCTGCTAATATTAAAACATTAGTTCTGAGGTATAAATCATGATAGTCCTTAAATGCTTTACACTTTGCTTCCTTCTATACTTTCTGCGCATGGTCATATTGCTTTTGACTAATGGTGTAAATTTTTTTGTGCTTACAATCGTTGACCTTCTTTAAATCCCCTTCCTTACATTTTTCATTGCACTTTTTACTCTTTATTTCATGTTTGCACTTTTTATACCTATTCCTGCAATAATTTAGTCTGCCTAGTACTGTGTTAAATTCCTCTCTTGATGAAAGCTTTGTTTTTGTGAAGTGCTCAGGATCATTCCATTTGTATGGGTACTCACTTTTTTGTGTAAGTAATGGAAGCAAATGCTAAAGAATACTCTGTGCCATAATTGGAAAACATTTGGCCAATTGCTCTGGATCTTTTCTTAACCATACAAATTACTTGCTACTTTTTTCAATGATGGAAATTGAAATTGGCAGGAGTCTATAAATTTTATCTGGCCAATTATTATCATCTTATAGTTCTCCTGGTTGTTTGCAATTATTTCGATTTTGTCTTCACTAATTAGGCCTAATTTCCATATTTCATAATGGAAGTTATAATGCTTCCCACTATGATATATTAATGGGATCTTAATTTTATCTGGCTTAATACGGAGTTGAAGATTACAGCCATGGTGTGCTGGACCATGATATTTTCCAGTGAAATGATCATGATCTCTAACCTTGTTTTTATTTATATCAGCTTGAAGTTTCATCTTATATATACAACATTCGGACACTGTTTTGAATATATTTTCTTCTTCTATATTTAAACCTTCTGTACGATATATAGCCTCTGCAAGTTTTTCTTCTGTGGCCTTACATTTGATTTTAACACAGCTATAATGTGATACACCTATGAATTTTCTGGAAGTATTAAAATATTTTACTTTATTATATTGGGTTTCATGTAGAGAACCTTCACATATATAACATTTTCTGGCAAAGTTATGTGTTCACCAATCACGTTCTGTTATTTTTATTTTTTCTAGATTGCGCAACTTTGGCTTGATAATTTTTTCCAAGTCTCGTTGCATGCTTTTCCATGACTCTGCAATTGAGTTTGGAGTTCGTCTAACAATTTCTTTTGCAAGCTTTCCATCTGTTTGGATCAATGCATAGCCATAACTATTAGGCTTCTGCTTCTGTAGTTTAACAGTCTTTTCATTGATAATATTATTCTCTACTGGATCACTATCTGCTTTGAGATCTTTAACAAAATAAAATGGTACGTTTTCTATTGCCTTATAATTTTCGAATTTCATAATGTGCTTACCTTTTTCTGTGAAGATTTCTCTTTGCCCAGCATTAGGATTATTTCGACTGTGATAGTTGTACTTTATATGTTCTTTAAGTAGATCCTTTCTTAAAAATGGGGCAATCATATAGTGATGGCAAAAATATTTATACTCATGATGCTTATTTCAATTTCGCATGATCTTATTCCATCCATTTTACTACTAATAAGACAGTAATGAGTATTTAATCCTGGAGGGATTTCATTAATATTATAGCAATCCCTCAAATCTTTTTCTCCTTTAGTAAATAAAATTAAATCTACTATATACTCTCTTTGATAATTATACTCCGATAAACAGAGCGGGTCCAACTTTCTAGTTGCTTGCTCTTTATCATTTTTTTCTGGTGCAGGATAAAACACATTTACTGCATAATTTGGATTATTTTCTTTGAATATATTAATATCACGTAATGTGAATAGAAAATTTATACCAGAGAAGTCTAGTATATTATTAAAGCATTGTAGCCTACTAATATTATGAAGATTTCTTGCTTTTCGACCCTGTCTACAGCCCTCTTTACTTGCTAAATAAGCTTTCATACATGCTTTGAAACATCTTTCGTCTGTATTTTGAGGGTTAATTATCCCTAATTGAGGTTTGGCCCATATTTTTGGTAATGCAAAATAGGAACTACCTTGGAGTGGTTGGTATGCACTTATTTCTAGAAAGATCTTTTTTCCATACTCATATATCCAACCTGAATGTTGATTTCACTCCATTTCATCGATTTTATCTAAAATTTCATTATACTGACGTGAAACTGTTTGGTCTATTCTATTCTGGCGAATAATATCTAAAATTTCACTTAGAAATGCTATGTCTTGATCTATTCGATGTCCAAAATGCCCTTCTTGTACAATCTGATATATATGAGCAATAAAAACTATTTTTATTTTAATACCCTCTAATTGAGCTAATTCTCTTCTATAAATATCGCTAATTTGGTCTTCAACATTCTCGAATGTGGCTAAGAAATCTTCTCAATATGGATAAGTTTCTGGAATAATAGCAAGATGATCGATACATAAACCTTGGTCAGAAATTCTTCTAGTTTCTACTAATCTTTTTGGAGCTAAATCTTCTATTCTTCGAAATATTAGTTTTTTTTCTTCAGATTCTGACTTGTTATTAAATTCAGATTCAGAATCTGATGTATCTCCTTCATTTGCGGTCTCATAGTTGCTTTCTCCCTCCTTTGACCCTTCTTCTGGTTCTGGTAGCTTAGAAGGTTCAGGTAACTCAGGTGGCATTGGGTCTCCACAGCTTGGTAAGAGATTTCTGAACAATCATTCTAATATACCGGTGATAGTACTAAGTATTCCATTCATGTTTTCCTAAAGATTAAATATGGTTACAAAAAAGTTTAAAATAAAAATTAATTTATTCAGATAATTATAATTACATATTTATTCAAAAAACAAACTAATATGAGATTTTATAAATATTCATCTATTTTTAGGTCCAGAGAAGTATGCAATGAGGGGTGCTATTGAGAAGAAGGGTATAAAGTTCATTGGAAATCTTCTAATCGAGTTCCCTGTATAGAGTGCAGAAAATTAACTTCCTCTATTTATAGTGCTTGTAGGAAACATGCAAATAAATATCACATTTAAGATTTTTATCAGTGTCAAAAGCTTGCAAAAATTCAGACAAATGATGATCTAGTGATGGGCTAGTGCCAAAGATGTTCCAGAACCCAAAATGTATATATTTATATCATATTATTTTTTATCTTGAGGTAAAAATTATATTTCTATTTGCTTATAATATTAGTATTCATTATATGCTTTTTAGTTTGTTTACATGTGCTTTGCTTCACTTTGCACAAAGGCTTCACTTCGCTCCATCTATAGTAAACCATGTATTGTATTCATTATATACTTTATGGTTTGTTTACATGTGCTTTGCTTCGCTTCACACAAATGCTTCGCTTTGCTCTGCTTATAGTAAACCTTGTCTTGTATTCATGATTGCTTTCAAATATGCCTCATTATTAGCATATACTAGAATAGTAGCATATAAGTTAAAAAAATATAGCATCCACATTTGCCTTACTCTAAAGAGCTTGCTCATGTTCTTGCTATATTTTTTCTCCCAAGGGCATTCGCATTACCCTAAGGGTTTATGCTCCTGCCTCTTCTTCAGCTACCTATAT